TGGAGACGTCGACCCGGCAGAGCTGGGGCTCGTCGCCAGGATAAGTGGAGAGGTCGACCCGACAGAGCTGGGGCTCGTCGCCAGGATAAGTGGAGACGTCGACCCGGCAGAGCTGGGGCTCGTCGCCGGGATAAGTGGAGATGTCGACCCGGCAGAGCTGGGGCTCGTCGCCGGGATAAGTGGAGAGGTCGACCCGGCAGAGTTGGGGCCCGTCGCCGGGATAAGTAGAGATGTCGACCCGACAGAGCTAAGGCTCGTCGCCGGGATAAGTGAAGTCGTCTACCCGGCAGAGCTGGGGCTCGTCGCCGGGATAAGTGGAGACGTCGACCCGGCAGAGCTAGGGCTCGTCACCGGGAAAAATAGAGACGTCGACCCAGCAGAGCTGGGGCTCGTCGCCGGGATAAGTAGAGATGTCGACCCGGCAGAGCTGGGGCTCGACGCCGGGATAAGTGAAGACGTCGACCCGGCAGAGCTGGGGCTCGTCGCCGGGATAAGTAGAGATGTCGGCGGCGGGCGAAGTAACGATGTCAGCCCGGCAAAGCAGAGGGTCGTCGCCGGACTGGATGGAAACGTCGGCCTAACCGGAGATGAATAGTGAAGGGAAAGACCAAAAGTCTCTTTCTCTCTCCTCCTCATCTCATATATATACCCCTCATTTTTTACAAGTGGGTGATTAAATAAATAAGAGATAATACATCATTAGTCAATGTGAGATAATTATCATGGGGGCCGCTGATAACTCTTGCCGGTTCCGGCTGTCCTCTGTCTCCTCGGCAGTCATAGTATCTACTGGAGGCGGCTTGGAATCCTACTCGGCTCGGTAGCTGGTGGACTCGACATCTTGGAATCCGGTCGATTTTTAGGAGATCGTTCTTAAGGACCTGTTTGTATATTTATTTATTATATATTTTCGGCCCTATTTATTTATTATATATTTTCGGCCCCTTGGTTGTCACCCGTATTATTTTATTTATCATTTAATTAATCGGAGCCAAATTGGGTAACAACACGTATTTTCAAAATACGTTTTCTACTGGGATGTGAAAAAAATACAAGTTTTTTTTATTGTAACACCCCAAAAAACCTGTTTTAATAATCCAAAACAACAAAACAAATCGAAATATACAATCTAAACCAAAATACCATCCAAACAATTCCAAATAAATCATCCAAACAAATTCAAAGAAAATAAACCAGCCAAACAAATTAAAATAAACAATCCAACCAAATCCAAATGAACTCTCCAAACAAATCCGAATAAACACTAACAAATTTAGTTCCCCTACTCATCACGAAGTCTAGACCTATCGGTGCGAGGATGTGAGGACGGACACTCATCCACAACATGATTTGGATCACCGCATCTAATGGACTGTCCTCTATCCCTCCTGCGGCGTGCCCGACGATCCATTTGCATGCGATATCGTCTCGTTTGCACGCGACCGGGTCCAGGCTTCAAGATCATCCTCTCCCAGTGTGGTATCAATTTCCACTCGACCGGCGCCCATGTATCCGGATTACCAATCGGAGCAAAACTCCAATTACGAAATGAGCTACCCAGTTCTCCGTCCAAAAATACTCACTATACAACAGTTTTGGGTCAGTCCCAACTGAACGACAGACGGCTAACGCATGAGAGCATGGTTTCCAATGCATCTGCAACTTCCGACAACTACAACGTTTCCGGTTGTAATCTACCTTATACCTGTAATAGTTCCCTAGTGATTTATATATATACAATATGAAAAAATTGAATGGACAAAAAAAAAAAAAAATATACTTACTTGTTTTGCCCTCTTCCACTAGCCCGTAAACCGGTTTCCACTTCGTACATGGAGTTGTCGGCATCCCTAACTTCCACACTATGAGTGCGGTTGTCTTCTCCAATTGCAAAAAAGCGTTAAAATGCTCCATAGCAATGGGACTCCTGCATCTCGTGGACTTGTTTTGTTCCTGTTGAAACAAATCCAAAGTTTTATGAAATGTGGCGTCTACCAAAGCTCTGCACGGTAGGAACCTAACCCCTTTCAGAACGTTGTTGTAACTCTCTGACATATTCGTTATCAATGTGCCCCATCTGCGTCCTTGATCTTTATACAGGGTCCACTTGTTCAAAGGAATTCGAAAAAGGTAATTGTGTGCTTCGGAACTCAATGCCAACAGTCGTTGTTCTGTCTCTCGAAACTTTCGCTCCGACAACTGCGAACCCAATTCCCAACACCAAGTCCGAATTTTCTTACTCCTGAACTTAGTCACCAAGTTGCTTCGAAGGTGTCGAAGGCAAATCCGGTGATACGCAGCGGGCTCTTGTCAATCTGTTAATGATTCAATGGCACTGAGTAGGCCCGCATCCCTGCCAGAAAGAATGCAGATACGTCTCTGGAAGACTACATATTGCCGCAGATTCCTAAGGAAAAATGACCAACTGTTCGATTGGCAATAACCGCTTATTCGCTGTTTTTGTTATAGCCACAAGCAATTTTCTCTTGTAGGATCCACGCAAATGTGTGCCATCGATGCTAATAACCGGCGGGCACATTTGGAAAGTTTGAATGGCGGGACCAAACGCCCAGAATACAAATTTGAATTGTCTGTCTCGAAGTTGTCGCGCCATTTCCCCACCCTGCCATTCCCACTCTACAATTGTGGAGGGATTCGTTCTTTGAAGCGCGGCAAAATACCTACACATTACAAAACGGTTTCATAATAAATAGATAAACATAGCGACAGACAAACAACACATATATTTGTAATTAATTTTTGCTTACTGAGGGAGTTCTGCGAAGTTCGATTCCCAAATGCCATACATACTCTCGATGGCTTTTCTCCTTCCGTGTCATGCCTTCTTGTAGCTGACATCCACTTTCCAGCACTGTTTCACATCAGCCTGGATCATGTCGACACCGTACTCCACTTTCTTTCGAATCTTATTACGAATGAGATTTGAAATCATTTGGGCGGTTACATTTCTGTGGTCATTTCTCTCGATCGGTTGCATACAAGTGTGTCTATCAGTCCATTCAGTTAGTTCCCACATTTTATGAACTCGTCTCGGCATAGTCACCCGAGCCTTCCACACACAAGGCGGATCTTCACTAGATCTGCAGACCATTTTGTATGACTTTTGATTTGAATCATTTACCCGAATCTCCCGCAACCTATCGACGTTCCAACCCATTAAAGCTATTTGGGATTCTTGCTTGCTCCGAAAAACTATACCCAAACATATGGTCTCAATGTCGCCATTCCAGCATGGAATAACATACTCGTCCTCATCTATCCTGGACGGCTCCCATTCACCCATCTCGCGGTATACGTGCTGACCACCACTAGGAAAGGGGTGTTCTTCTTCAATGAACTCGGCTTCACTCTCCTCATTTTCCCTTCTCCAAAATTACGTAGATGAGAAGCCGACGTGCCCTCATCCATTCCCCCGTAATAAGGAGTAAAATCGTCAAATTGTGTGACAGGTGTAATTGAATCCAACGATAAATGCAAATACACAACGAACATAGAAGGAGATAAATAAATCCACTGAAGAGCACTATCTTTATCGAGTCTTCCGGCAGTCCACGAACCATCGAATTGACGAAACATTAAAGTAATCGCTTGAATTGTCCAACCTTCTCCAAACCGACAATTTTCATTAATCATCTGTACCAATTGTTCATATGATATCCTCCCCGTAATAACAAATGAACCATCCGGACTATCCATAAATGAAACAAAATCTCTTAACTGTTACTTCGCACATCGCCAATACAAATTAACAAAATACGAACTACAATACGCCATTTATACCTGTTCCAAACAAAAACTTTCAATTCTTCCCAATTACAACAACACATAATGTGTAATCCAACACCCAAAAAATTCAATTATTCTTTAACCCATCTTTTTACTCTGACGAAAAAACCAAAAAAAATATTTTCAATCGATTAATCCTCCAAAACCCTAATACCCATAATCCAACAATAACATACAATTCACCTATATTTCGAAAAAAGTGAAAGCCCTAATTCTAATTCTAACCCTAATTTCAAAAAACCCTAAGCCCAACAACAACCAATCAATACACAATTGACAATTTAGAACAAAATTCTAATCTCCAATTGAACATACATACATAATCGATAAACAATTAACAATTCACAATCTTCAAACACCACCACATTCAAACATACTATAACAATTATCAATTTTCAACAACTCCAAACAATGTCAAAAGTTGAGATAAGCCAATATATCTCGTGCGAATGACTTAACAGGAAATGAGGTTCGTGTTATTGTTGTTGTCGATTCACGTCGGGGTGGCGATTGGATCGAGTTTTTTTTTTTTTCGATATGCTCTCGCAATTTTTCTGAAATAACTGAATGAAGTCGCGCAAATGAAATGGGGAAGAAGAAGAAAATTTGTTTTTTTATTCAATTGTAAAATGTATTACTATAATACGTTTTATACCTATTTAATTGTAAAACGTATTCATAGAATACATGTTCATTTATTTTTTTATAGAAAATTAGATTTAAAAACGTATAATAATTACACGTTTTTTAATATTTTTTAGTTAATTAAAAACGTAATTATAATATACGGTTTAAAAGATTATTTTTTATTTTAATTTTATGAATTAAAAACGTATTAAAACAATCCGTTTTTTAAAACCCTAAAAATCAATCAATTTAGGGTTTTGGAGAACGTATTTGTGAAATACGGTTTATGATTATTAATTTTTATTCAATTCGACTCTTTTTAAAAGGAAATAAATATTTTTAAAATTATTCAAAATTAATTATAAAACGTATAAGTAGAATACGTTTTTCTAATAAAATGTTATTAGAAAAACGGATTCATAGAATACGTCCTTTTTATTTTTTTCTACTCCTTTTTTTTTCTCCACTTATTTTTTTTAAATAAATAAACTATCTAATACCACCCCTTATACCTCTCACACACAAATCACATTCAATTCAACACACACACACAAACACACACTAAATTACAGCCGCCCGACACCCGCCTTCCTCCGCCTACGGCCGCCATAGCAGGCGACCACCGCAGACACACCGCCTTCCTCTGCCCTAGCACCTTCCTCGCCCTCTATTACAATAGAAATATGAACAAAACATCAAATATCCATTATCATAGATGAACACGAGAGGAAAGATTACAGAGAGTTTGTGAGGTTGGGAGAGAACACGGAAAAAGAAGAAAGAAGAAAAAGTGAAGTCTCAAACCCTAATCTACCTATTTATACTAAGGGCTAATAGTGACATATGTACGAGCCCAAATGCTTAAAGTCCAAAGTTACAAAACAATGATATAGCCCAATATAAAATAACACTGTAGCCCAATTACATTTTATGGTCTAATATCCCCCCGCAAGAGGAACATGTATATTTACAATGTTCATCTTGGAAAGACATGCATGAAAAGGTTGAGTACTAAGTGGCTTTGTAAGAATGTCTGCTATCTGGCCTTCTGATGGAACAAAGTGTAGAGAGATGATGCCTGTAGACAACTTCTCTCTTATTAAATGGCAGTCGATCTCGATATGCTTTGTTCTCTCATGATGGACAGGGTTCTTGGCAAGGGGAATGGCAGACTTGCTATCTGAAAGCAAAGAAACAGGGGCATTGTAAGTATTGTTTAGATCCTTAAGCAGATATAGAAGCCATTGAGCTTCACAAGTACTGAGAGCTAATGCTCTATATTCTGCTTCTGCAGAGGACCGGCTAACAGTTGGCTATTTCTTTGATTTCCAGGAAATCAAAAAATCACCAATGAAGAACGCATATCCAGTTATACTTCTTCTTGTATCAGGACAGCCAGCCCAATCACTGTCACTATACCCTTTAAGAACTAAGCTAGAAGTTCTGGGATAGAGAATACCTTGTCCAATTGTGCCCTTAACATACCTGAGAATCCTGTTTGTAGCAGTCATGTGTTGATGTGTAGGACATGAAACAAATTGGCTTAAACAATGAAAACTGCGAGTTAAATCAATCTGCCTATTAATCTTCTATATTTAGAAGCATTGACTGAAATAGAATCCATGTCAGAACAAGTAGCAGATAATCTCAGATTTGGATCCATGGGAGTTTTGGCAGGTTTGCAATCTAAATAGCCAGTATCCTTTAGAATAGCTAATGCATACTTTCTCTGCCATAGGTGGATACCTTTTTTAGATTGAGCAACTTCCAAACCAAGAATATAATTCAAAGTTCCCAAATCTTTTATTGTAAAACAGGAATCAAGATGTTGTTTAATAGCAGAAATGGCAGATAAGTTGTCCCGTGTGACTATGATGTCATCAACATAGACAAGAAGTATCAAAGTATACTCAGTTTTAGAATAAAGAAAGAGAGAACTATCTGAAGTAGACTGAGTGAAGCCATATGCAAGTAAACAGGCAGTCAGTTTTTGAAACCATTGTCTAGAGGCTTGTTTCAAGCCATATAGACTTTTTGTTAGTTGACATACTCTGTTATCATGAGCATGTAAATATCCAAGGGGTGGGGACATATAAACAGTTTCATCTAAATCCCCATGTAAGAATGCATTATTAACATCTAATTGATGAATATGTCAATTTTTAATAGCAGCAATGCATAAAAGAACTCTAACAGTTGTGATTTTTGCTACAAGAGAGAAAGTATCAAAGTAATCAATACCTTCTTCCTGTGTGTAGCCCTTGGCTACCAATCTAGTTTTATACCTTTCTATTGAACCATATGATTTGTATTTGATTTTATAGGCCCATTTGCAACCTATACAATGATAGTTAGGAGGTAAAGCAATTTATTTCCATGTATTAGTCTGTTCAAGAGCAGAAATTTGTTTTTGCATTGCTTCTTGTCAAAAGGGATGTAAGACAACTTGTTTATATGATTTTGGCTCAGTATTATTAGTGATTGCATCAGTGAAACAGACATGATTATGAGAAAGAGATGCAGTTGACAGATAATTAATTAAAGGATATGGTGTACCAGATGTGTCATTTTGTGTTGTAGAGGTAGAATCTGAGGGATGGGGTAATGAATGATTGTATATTTTGAGATATGATGGAGGTTTCCTTAATCTAGAGGATCTTCTGAGGGTAGGTGTTGAAGAAGATGTAGAAAGGTCTGAAGATTGGTTATTTGGTTGTGAAGAATGTATGTCAACAGGTGAGTGTTGTGTTTGAAGAATAGGTGGGATTGTAGTAGTATTAGTTGAAGGAGGTGGGGAAGTATTAGCAGGTGAAAGAGGTGGGGAAGTAGTAGTAGGCAGTTGAGTTGTATGGTATGATGGATTAGTGTGTTTATCAGAATATTTAAAGTCCGGGGGTTTTGGAAATAGATTTTCAGAGTTGGTTTGAAGGATATAAGTGTGTTTGAAAGGCAACACATGTTCATAAAATGACACATTTCTGGAAATTTCTATTTTCTTGGTATCTAGATTGTAAAGTCTATACCCTTTACAACCAATTGGATATCCAAGAAGTATGCATTTTGATGCTTTGTGATCAAATTTAGATCTATGTGTAGTTACTGTAGATGCATAACATAGACAACCAATGACTTTCAAGTGATTGAGTGTGGGTGCTGTATTGTAAAGTTTTTCAAATGGTGATATGTTGTTATGCAGAGTAGATGGAATTCTATTAATGATATGAGTAGCAGCAGTAACACAATCAATCCAATAATGTAATGGAAGATGAACATGAAACAGTATGACTCTAGCTACTTGAAGTAGATGTTGGTGTTTTCTTTCCACCCTACCATTCTGTTGAGGTGTTTCAATGCATAATGTTTGATGAACAATACCATTAATATGAAAGAAGTCATGTAAGAAAAATTCAGACCCATTATCAGATCTAATACACTTAATCTTTTTGTGAAATTGATTAAGAATAAGATTGTAAAAGTGAGGTAAATACTGTTTTGTATCTGACTTATGAATGAGGGGATAAACCCATGTAACCCTGCTGAAATCATCAACAATTGTTAAGAAAAATCTATGGCCAGAATGAGATGGTATGGAAAATGGACCCCATAAATCACAATGTATAAGATCAAAAGGTGCAGATGCTATTGAATCACTATGATTATAAGGAAGTCTTTTCTGTCTGGCAAAATGACAAGAATCACAAGGCATAGTAGCAAAGTTCTTGATGTTCATGGAAGAGCATTCAAGAATACATGAAAGTTTATGAAAGGACAGATGTCCTAGTCTAAAATGCCACAATTCAGTAGGTGACAGTACATGAGGAATTCAGAATCAACAGAGTCAATAGATTTCTGAGTACAATCTAATACATGAGAATTAGCAGCTAAAACAGTGGTGCAACTTTTAACAGAAAAATGGTAAAGTCCATTCTGAGCTTCAGCAAAACCAATCATTTTGTTGGTTTGCAGCTCCTACAATGTGCAGTAAGAAGCAACAAATTTGACATAACAATTGTTATAAGCAGTTAGTTTAGATATAGAAATAAGGTTAAAGGTAAAATTAGGAACATAAAGCACATCTTTCAGTACAAGATTAGGTCCCAGATTTATCTAGCCCACATGATTGGCGAATGTGTTTTGTCCATTGGGAAGGTTTATTTTGATGGATGTAGGGGTGGGTGGTTTAGAAAAGAAGCAAATATCACAGACCATATGATCTGTAGCACCTGTATCAAGTATCCAAGTGGTTTTGGAAAAAGATGAAATGGACTGACAGTTTAATGAAAATGTACCTGGTTGTTCTACGTGAACAGTGGCAACAATTGGGTTGGACTCAGCCTGAGCCTTTCCCTGGTTAGTATTTTTGTCAAGAAACTCAGCAAAAAGTTTGCCAGTCACAGAATTGTTAACATTGGCAGGTTGAGTGGGGTAATTGATAGTTGGAGTGGAGTAATTGGTAGTGCGAGTGGGGTAATTGGTTATGACAGAGTTAACTGAGGGTTTGGTGTTTGAATTTTGGAGAGAAGGGTGGATTCTGGGGCCTTTGGGACCAATCCAATTGGATGGATAGCCAATAACTTGATAACATTTCTCAGTGGGATGATTGTAACCACATTGATTGCATTTAAACTTCTTTTTGTCATTGGAATCAGTAGGTTTAAAATATTTTGAAGTTTTGGCAATCATTGCAGCAGGTTCAAACAATTTTGAATTAGTTTGTAAGCATCTCTGACTCTCTTCTTGTAACAACAATGAATAAAATTTTGAAGTGATGGCAAGGAGAAGTAAGCAAAAAATGACTTCCTAATTGAGCATAAGAATCATTAAGACCAATAAGGAACTTCATGACAGAATCATTTTGTTGAGCAAAAGTCATAGAATCAAAGATAGCATAGGTACAGCGAGTCATAGCACCACAAACACATTTAAAAACAGGTCTATATGTGATGTATTCATCCCACAATGATTTGAATGCTGTGTAATACTGAGTAATAGACTGAGAACCCTGATCCATGGTACTTAATGATTTCTCAAATTGAAAAACCCTAGGACCACTACTAACTGCATAACGAGACCTAAGTTCATCCCAAACATGTTGAGTATTAGAGAAAAAGAGTAAGGATGAACGAATATCTTTAGAAACAGAGTTCAAAATCCAAGAAAGAACCAAGTTATTAGCATGAATCCAAGCATTGTGATCAGTAGGATGAGTAGAAGGGTTAGGGGTTAGAGCCATCAATGAAGGCTACTTTATTTTTCACGCTCAAGGCCATCGTCACAGCCCTAGACCAGGCCACATAGTTAACTCCTGTGAATAAATCGGCAACAATAATGGCACCGGGATTGTCACTGGAATGTAAGTAGTACGGCGACAAGGGATCATCGGTCGGATGAGACATCGCGAACAAATCAGAACAGATCTATGTAGGAGCAAATATCGATTCAAACAAATCGGAACTAATCGGAGTAGATCCGTAAGATAGAGAACAGATCGACACAGATTAGAACAGATCGATGAAATTCAAGTGAAAATCGATCGAAAAATCAAGCGACAAAGAGAAAAAATATATGAGCAGCGGAAATCTAAACGGATCGAGGATAGATCCCGAAAACTGATACCATATTACAATAGAAATATGAAAAAAACATCAAATATCCATTATCATAGATGAACACGAGAGGAAAGATTACAGAGAGTTTGTGAGGTTGAGAGAGAAAACGAAAAAAGAAGAAAGAAGAAAAAGTGAAGTCTCAAATCCTAATCTACCTATTTATACTAAAGGCTAATAGTAACATATGTACAGGCCCAAATGCTTAAAGTCCAAAGTTACAAAACAATGATATAGCCCAATATAAAATAACACTGTAGCCCAATTACATTTTATGGTCTAATACCCTCCCCTCCTCCCGGACACGCCAGAATCAACCCAACACAAACCACCGGTCACCGCCATTAGCCCAAACTCTCCCGTCGATGCTGCCACTAAACTACCGTCGTCGCCGCTACCACCCCGTCGAGCGCCATAAACCATCCTAGCACCGGAACCACCGTCACCTTCCCCCTTCTCAATCTCCCTCAGCCCCCTGTCGAGCGCCTCGATTGTACTGACGGCGAGGGATGTCGTTCCGGGGAAGTTGCAGATGAAGACGGTATAAAAGGTTTGAGTGTTGCAGATTAGTTGCACGCGACCTGAACGAGATGAGCTCACCGGCAATTTGAAGGAACGGGTAAGCGGCGGCCGAAATTTTTTTGGGGCTGGCGAATTGAATCACGATTTGGGTGAAACGTGAATTGAAATGGGTGAATTCCAATTTAGGTGAAATGGATTTAGCTGATTTGGCCGTGAATGGTTGGGTGATTTGGCCGTAATTATTAATTTTTTTTTTTCCGAAACGGATAATAATCTATCATTATATAAAAAGAATAACCTTTTTATAAATTTAGAAACTTTTTCCCGCCAAAATCATTAAATATATCCTATATATAGTAATTGTTGGACAAATCTGAATAGGCAAAAAATCTGCTCATTAATTGTGTAAAGATTTGTTTCTCTTTTTCCTATTTCTTAGTTTATCGTTTTAATAATAAATATTTGTTTTTCTTTTTCCTATTTTTAGTATAAATCTACACGAGCTTATCTCTTATGTTACAAAATCTCATTTCATACGATCTTAGGTGTTTAAAAAATCTCATCTCTTATCTATACAGATTTGAAAAAATAAAATAAAATAGAAATCAATTTATAATTACTACTAGAAATTCATTATCTTTAAAAAGAAAAAATAAAATAAAATAGAAACTAATTCATAATTACTACTAAAATCCATTATCTACTTTAAGAAGCTAATTTTCATCGGTCTAATTACTATTATTTTTACAAATATTCTAAGCTAACCATACAAAAAAGTATAATAATAATTTTGAAATGGTGTGTAATCAATTTTTTTTATATTCTCTTATACAAAATCATTTTACATTGTTTGACCCCGAATCTTTAATTTATAATTATTAAGTATTGTTTATCCTCCTCTTTTATTTATAATTATTTTTTTTTTCTTCCTCTTTTTAAATACGATCAATAGTAGTTTTCACTTCCGCCATTGACTCAAACTCGAGGTCTATTTATAATATTGTTAATTTAATATTGTTCCCGTGCATCGCACGGGGTACACACTAGTATATATCTATCAACTCAAAAACGTTTGTACAAAAGGGCGTACCAAAATGGTACTTGCCTTGGCTATGAGACTAAGCCAAGTTACATGACTAAACAGTCACCAAAAGATACAATGCATACAAAATACACAGAAAGCAAAATATACATACAAATTTACAAGAAGAGAGAGAACATAGATATAAAACAGATGACATGATTTGGGGAGGTCTTCAACCACTGAGCTATCAGCTCCTAGCTAAGAGATCTCTCCAGAGATAAAAGGAATTGCTGCACAAGCTGGCTCACCACTGAACCAAGGTCCCTAGCAGCCTTCCTCCACAGCAACTCCTCCCAAAAAAGATAAAAAAACTGCCAAAAGCATTTGAAAAAGAAGCAGAACTTGGCAAAAAATTCAGGCTGCTGCAATGGATACATCTTCAAATTCCCTCCACTCAAGCCATGCCCTCTTTGCTAGTTCAAGCTCAGAAATTCATACTTTGTTAAAGAGCCAATGGTTACGAGTTTTCCATAGCCACCAAAGGATGTAGGTTGAAAAGTGAACTCTATCTTGTATACACTGCACCCTTTGGATATGACAGATTTTTGACCACCAAGATTTAAATTGATCAGTGAAACTTTGAATACCACTCCAGTCTAGTCCTGCCAGTTTCCAAACTTTTATAGCTCGAGGACAGTGGAAAAATATGTGTTCTAATGATTCTTCAGCTTCTCCACAGATGCAACAGATTGGGTCTACCATGATGCATTTTTTCCTCAATTGATCTTGAGTGCTAAGAAAATTAAACCAGGATCTCCAGATAAAATTTTTTATTTTCTGTTTTATTTTAAGAGACCAGGTGAATTTCCAAATCTTCTTTTCAATGGGTCCATTTCGGCTAGATTCAGGCTGTTGCACATAGCACATTTTAGCTTTGAGGATTGTGGAGTAAGCAGATTTGACTGATAACTTATCATTCTTGTCTGGAAGCCATTTCCACATGTCAGAATAGGCAACTCTATCAAGAGGGATGGATAAGATATGTCTAGCTTCTTCAGGTCTAAAAGATTGTTCAATAAGATCAGTGTCCCATGAGTTGCCAGAATATGTTAATAAATCACAAACCTTTTTGAGTCTGCATGAATCATAGGAGAATGCTGTTGAGGGAATGAAATTTGTAAGGTTTGGGATCCATGGTTCAGACCAAATCAATGTGTCTCTGCCATTTCCCACCGTTTTGATGACCCTGTTCTTCAAAACATGTCTAGCCTTAAGCCATAAACTCCACAGCCAGGAATCAGATGGCCTAGATTGAGCATCCCAAAGAGTGGTAGAAGGGAAATATTTGCCTTTAAGTACTTTGCTCATAAATAGTTGAGGTTGTGTGATGAGTCTCCATAGTTGCTTGGCCAGGAGAGCTTCATTAAAGGAAGTTAGACATTTGAATCCCAGTCCACCATTTTCTTTAGGTAATGTCAGCTTTTGCCATGATGCCCAATGGATCTTATCCCTGCCATTTTCATCTGATCCCCACCAAAAGGAGGCACATAATCTGCAAATATCTGTACAAACTGCAATGGGAAGCTTGAAACATGACATAACAAAAGTTGGCAATGCTCCAATGACAGAGTTTAACAAAATGGCTTTGCCTGCTTCACTTAAAAATATATTTTTCCAAGAGGATAATCTCTGAATAACTTTATTAGTAACAAAACTGAAAATATCCCTTTTGGATCTGCCTAACCCTAAGGGCAGTCCTAGGTATCTGGTAGAGTGGACAATAGTAATGCCATTAAGGATGGAAACAATATCAGCCTTAACAGAATTAGGGGTATTTCTAGAAAAAAAAATAGAGGATTTGTGTAAATTTACTTGTTGACCAGAATCTAGCCCATATAGCCTAAGAATATTAGAAATTAAAAGAGCATGGGAGATATCTGCTTTACTGAAGAAGATAGAGTCGTCAGCAAAAAATAGGTGAGTAACAGGGGGAGAGTTTTTACTGATTTTTAATACCCTGGAACGAGTACAAAATTGAAGCCTGTTTTATAAGATTTGAAAGGGCTTCTGATATGATAATAAAAAGATAAGGAGAAAGAGGATCTCCTTGTCGAAGGCCTCTAGAAGGTTTCAACAAACCAAGTGGTTGGCCCATAATATTAAAAGAAAAAGAGGAAGTGCATATACAAGAGAGCATCCAAGAGACAAACTTTAAACAAAATCCCATCTTTTTGCATATGGCAGCAAGAAATTTCCACTCTACTCTATCAAAAGCCTACATCATATCTAGTTTAAGGGCCATAAAACAATTTTTACCCTTTCTTTTGCTATTCAAAAGGTGAATACATTCATTGGCTATAACAAAATTATCAATAAGCTGCCTACCGGGGACAAAGGCAGCTTGATGAGGACTGATACAAACGGAAAGAACTTGCTTCAGCCTATTAGCAAGTATTTTAGAAATAATTCTGTAAGTGACTGTACAAAGGCTAATTGGTCTAAATTCAAAAAGAGATAGAGCATTTGGTTTTTTTGGAATAAGGGTAATTACTGTGAGATTAGTGGCTTTAGGCATTTTACCAGTCAAGAAAAATTGTTGGATAGCATGAATTTAGAAATAATTCTGTAAGTGACTGTACAAAGGCTAATTGGTCTAAATTCAAAAAGAGATAGAGCATTTGGTTTTTTTGGAATAAGGGTAATTACTGTGAGATTAGTGGCTTTAGGCATTTTACCAGTTAAGAAAAATTGTTGGATAGCATGAAATATGAATCCTTAATAGTATTCCAAGAAGACTGAAAAAAGTGGGGAGACATACCATCAATTCCAGGGGCCTTGTTTGGGTGCATCTCCCACAAGGCATGCTTAAGCTCTTCCATGGTCACAGGCCTCACTAGTCTGTTGTTCATTTCTTCAGTGATTGAGCAAGGGATTCCATCAAGAGAGCACCAGTCTAGAGTGGGGTTGGAAGTTGAGAACAGTTCAGAGAAATAGGATTGGACTTCCTCAAGGATTTCAGCCGAGTTTTGACACCTGCTGCCATCTCTTTTGAGAAGTCCCTCAATACTATTTGTTCTCCTTCTTTGCTTGACACAAGCTTGAAAGTACTTTGTGTTTCTGTCCCCTTCTTTTAACCATAGACATCTTGCTTTTTGAGCCCAGAATCTTTCTTCTTCTGCATAAGCCTGGTGCAATTTCCTTCTGTTGCTTTCCCACTCTGCCCAATTTTTATGAGGACCCTATAGATGTTGGTCATGTAACTGAGCTTTTATCAAATCAATTTCCTGTTTGGAATGGTTGATCATTGATTTTTTCCACTTCAGCAATGCAATTCTGACATTTCGGATTCTGGCTTGAATGCTGTATAGATCAACCCCAAAAGAATTCAAATTCCAAGCCTCAGCCACTGTATCAGAGAAGCCTTCTTTAGACACCCACCTTGAGTCAAAATAAAATTTTGCTTTGCTTTAACATCCTCGCAGTCAGTATTCAGAAGAAGTAAGCAGTGGTCTGAGAAATGAAGAGGGATATGAGTAACCTGGGATTTGGGGAAAGTTAAGGCCCACATAGGGGAGGAGAAGAATCTGTCAATCCTTTCCTCAATAAAATCATCACCTTGTCTATTATTACTCCAAGTGAAAGGGTGGCCTATGAAGGGGATATCTTCCATACCCATGATCTGAATAAAAGAGTTAAAAGCTCTAAGGCTACCCTGAGTTCTAAAATTTCCCCCCCTTTTTTTAGAATTTGGCCGTAAATTGGATTTGGCTGATTTGGGCGTGAATTGTTGGGTGCCAGGAATTCATTGTTATGTGATTTTGTTGTGAATTCAATTTGGGGTTAGTTATGGAAATTAGGTTAATGTTAGGGACTATTTTGTTAGTTTTTGAAAACTTTAATTATAACATAAATATATTAGTGGATAAATATTTATACTAAATTATTAATAATTTTATGAATATAAAAATATTGTGAACGACTTTGATCGTAAATGTGTAGTGTAGCCTACTTTAATCGAATCGATGGTATTTTTATCACAAACCAAATTAAAATTGAATACAAATGGTCATTTTACTCGGTCAGTTATTCGATTTAATCAAAATAACTGAATTAAATTATTATGTATATTTATAATATTGTAGTCAGTATTCGATTAATTCCAGCTCATGCTCTGCTCCAAATGGCGATGGCTGACTGGATGGATTTCTCTGCTGCTTAGGAGTTTGTTTCGTTGGATTTATCTATTTTCTTTTAGTAGCCTGTTCTTTTGTGTTTTGGTCTGTTTCTGTATTTTGGTTCCGTTTGTTGGTTTGCTTATTTGGAATGACACCCTTACTAGGCTTTGTGGCAGTGGTGGGGTGTTATTCTTTGACTAGTCTTATTTCTCTTGCCTTCTATTTATGAGGTTCTAGACCGCCTGCGTGCGTGTCTCTCATTTTTCTTTTTTTCTTTGCCAGTGGTTGATCTGTTATGTATTCGAACTTAGTTTTTTATATAGTTGATTCTATCGTTTTGGGAAAAAAAAAAGTAAAAATAAATAATTGTTCATAATGTAAAATTTCGATTTAGTCTGGTCAATTTTGGTCGCTATGCTTCAAAAATATAAGAAAAAAAAATTAATATAGTTTAATTTATATGTTTGTTATTTAAATAAAAAAAATGACACCGTGTANCCGCTTTCGCACACTTGTTCGGATGGACCAGCTTGGATATCCATCTTTCCGATTTTAGTAGATTAGGTTTTTGCTCTCATTAGATTGGATCTTGCTTCCGGGCACCTGTTAGCCCGTTGTAGCGCCCCATTTGTTCCGGATTATTTTGGAAGTTATTATTTATTTTTTTTTTATTTATTTTTATTTGTTCGAATAAATTTATTTATTTTATTTGTGCTCGTAATTACCTTAATTGTTTGTTGTTATAGATAAATAAATAATGTGTGTATTTTATTGCCTAAATATATATCTGTATTATTATTATTATTATTATTATTATTAAATAAGTATTATGTGTATTATGTATTAGCCGGATTTAATTTTCGCCACGTCAAACCGAGCCTCGAATAATTTTCGAGTCGAGCCCGAGAGAACCGGCCGATTTCGATTATTTTCCGTAGCCATTTTGGGATCTTTTTCTCTAGACCATTTGTTCCGGAATAATTGGATATTATTATTTGGCATTTATTTTATTTTCTAAATTAATTATTCGGGCTTGATAATTTTATTTCGATTATATGCTCGTAATTGCAAATTGTATTAATTTTAATAGCGAGCCGAATAATATTATTATTTTAATTTTCGGTCGATCAGAATAATCGTTATTAATCGGGATTTCGAACCAAGCAAGCAACCAAGCCCGAACTGTGAGCATTCCCGGCCTCCTCATATCCGACCCTTTTATCTCGACGGATTTGTTTTGCCTTTTCAAAATAATTTGAACTCCTTTTGAATTTAGATTCAATTAATTCCATGCTAAATTGGACAAGTACTCTACCACTCCTATTTTCTCTTCTTTTGCTGTGTCCTTAGAGTATTTTGAGTGTGGCTTTAGGATATGCTTTCAGTATTTTTTTTTATGTTTTGTTATTTTTTCAAATTCAAATAATACCATCTCATTTTGGTAAGTTTTGGGTCAATCTCCATCACTCCTTATAGTGGCCGTTTCTCTCCCTTCATCAAAGGAAATTGATGCTAATAATCATGGTGATAAATCACCTTGAATTCCATTGCAAGTTATAAGGCAAATTCACCCCCTTCACTTCAACTCTATCACGTTTTTTCTCTCAATCACATAGCATTTCTCTTGCATATTTTTTTTCTTTCCTCTCGTAACTTGATAAACTGAGTCAAGTAATTGGAATAATCCCATCGCACGTCCGACCCTCCTTCCCACGCCACCAAGGACCCTTGGACGTCACCTTCGTCGTGCGAGCTGCCGTTAGACACCGAGCGAGCCAAGCGGACGATTTCCCCGCCCGTAGGATTTGATCGTCGTTGAGCCCTTCCGAAACCGAACCCGTCTTCGCTCCCCTTTGACGTTTTGTAAATTTATTTTACTAAACTTTAAATCCTTTGTGATAATATGTTATATTTGCTGGGATTATATTTGAACATGTTTAAATGAGATTATTTAGATTAAATGTTATTCAATC